TGTAATCGTTTTATTGTCAATTATCGCGAATTCGATCTTTGCTTTTGCATTCATTTTTCGTATATCGTGATCCCGTGATTTCATCATCGGTGACCATTTCGACTTAACGACGTATCGATGTAAGATAGAGAAGCTAATAAAGAGTCAGATGAAGAGACTTCTATATAGTTTTAATTGTTATGTGCTACATATTAAGAGAATACGCTGCAGTAAAGGCTCACAAAAACTTTTTCTTTGAGATTTTTTTAAATAACTATAAGTCTTAAAAAAAATATTAATTAGTATATCGATTGAATGGATTTTGAAAATATTTTAAGAACTTTTGTACGTGAATATATAATATATGTATGGTGATGTTATACATTGTAGATCTCTATGTTCAAAAAACATCCATCAGCGGCATAGAGAACTTAAATTATAATTATCAAAAATGAAAAATTCTTGAAAATTTTGAAATTATATAAGTGTAGTTTCAGCTAATAGAAATTTTTTTAAATAATTTTTTTTTCACAAAATGATGACGATTTAAAAAAAATTAATTTTATCAGATTTTGACATCTTTATTTCGATATCTTATTCTCAGAAACTAATAATTGAAAAAAATTTTATACCTAATTGAAACTATTTATTTTGTGAAGATATCTTTAAAATTTGAAGCCAATCGGTCAAAAATTTCTAATTCTAGTTGTAGCCAGTTGAAGAAAAGTGATTGCGAAAAAACGCGTTTAAAATTTTAATATCGATTATCAGTCAAATTTACTTGTGAATTCCCATGAATTTATCGCCAGTGAAACAAACACGATTGATTACATCAAAGAAATTTTTGTAACTTAAACACATGAGGTTGGGCAGGCCTTAAATTAGTTAGCTAAAGTTTTGTTTTAAGGCAATCGATCACATGCGCACGTTTTCACTATAACTTATATAAATTAAAAATTAAAAATATAAATTTCATTAAAATTTTTTAGAAGCACATTTCTAAGATATCTATTTTTTGAAAAATTAAAAAAAAATCGATTTTTTTGAAAATATTATCATAGCATACTCCTTTCGTATACGTATCAAAGAGCGCTAATCTTGTAATTTTTTTATTGACTATCAGCCAGTTTTATTAATTATCGAACGGATGTCGGATATTAAATGCAGAATTTTTACGCATCCATCACGTTGCTCGGTTGACAATGACTACAAATCCGCTTGTGTGTTTGTGATTAGATAGGCGCGACTATTTCTCATCGTTGCTTTATCCTAATTACCGTGCGCTATTTCCCTCGGCATATAAATTTGGCACGTCGCCATTTATCTTTTACGACAGTAGCTTTTCGTTATGCACTCGCTCTCATTGCCGTCGCTGCCATTCTAACACACGAGTTTAGGTTCCTCGAAGTATCAAAAATAGTGTATCTTGGAAAAGAGAAAAGAAATATAACCGGACGTTTAAGCATTTCGCGCAGTGTCACGCTTCTTCCATTTATCAATTCCACAATCTCGATTTTTCATTGCTACTAAAATTCCATTCTGTGTCTCACAAGGATATAATAATTTTTGATTTTCTATTTTGAGAAATGAAGATTTTCGGTAGTAGCTCAACCTAAATCTAACCTGTGTACAAAGGGTGATCTAAACGCAAAGACCACTGATAATTTATATAAAATCGTTGCGTGCTGTGTCATAGTGAATCTCATAGGCACGATAGCATTCGCAGGTTTCCACGGTTGGTTACACTTACGGTGCATGTCGATTTACACGCGATACTACGCGAAACGATTTGTCCAAACCAGCGGGTAGTCAGCTTGCATGTCCCCGCACGATCGTTACAATATCGGTGCCCTTTCAACGTTATTTCATTACTCCGAATTGATACGTCCTGTGCTCCGATAAGCAATTCTAAACGTGGTCTAGTATAATCGAATTTTCCGTCTTATAATCTTACCGTCGACAGTATTTTGTATCGATATTCTAAATTCATGAAACATGTCTGATCGTACAGAATGCCGTTTGACCTCGACTGTTGTGACGAAAGCTCGGTTAGTTTATTATTTATATATCGCCGTTTTCTCTTAAGCGCGAGATCGATGAAGAATAACAGCGAGAAGAATAACTCATAATAATAATAACAACACCAACACCGATGATGATGATGATGATGATGATGATGATGATGATATTGATAATAACAATAATGTTTCTTAAATATATAAGGGCGTTACTATAAATATTGTCTTACATTAAATTAGTATGTTCATAAATGAGTTTTTGTTTCCAGTATCGCTTTATGTGTACTTATTACGTTTAGTTGTCTTTTCCCGTTTTAAAGTGGGAGGAGTATTCTTCGAGTTAAACTTTGGTCTCGCTTGGAGAGCCTTTCTCAAGATCTTCAATTTCACAGTGCGGGATTTGTCGCGTTAAAGACCACCGAGACCGGTTTCCGTCTCTCCGTCGTGCAATTCTCCCCGAAGAGCAAACCCCCGAAGAGGTGTGCCAGAAAGAAATATCCGCGGCCCTTATTTCGGCCATTACTTCTCCGCTGTTTGGCAAAAATAAGATCGGGGCTCCTCTCTCCTGTATGTAGGTGGCGAAAAATCTTTCAAGGTTCAGTGAAACTGGGTCATCGCGCGCGCTGTTTCCACATGGCAGCGGCAGTGAGATTCGTCGTTCTGCGATGCAGCCTGGCGTGAAGATACGAGGAGATATAATCTTAGCCGGCGATAAGACTTCGGAGAGCGACGTTCAAAGGTTACGAGCCTTATCCTCGCGTGTAGCGGAGCTTTCTTCCAGCTTGCGTGCTCTCAGAGCTTGCTCGCGCAAGGTTGCGTATGAAAGATATAATTTGTATCTTCTCGATGTTCAACGTTGACGTTTGAACGCGTTATAATTCAGGGAAAGAGATCTGTCTTTACATCTACTATGTACGATAGTAAAATGTTTGCGTGAAATATTTTACATATTTTTAGCTCCCCTTTCCCCTCTCTTTTTAAAAAACGAGGAGGCTACATAAAATACCAAGCTACATGCTATGGGCCATTCACGCGAATCGTAAAATCGCATTCGAATCCGTAGTGCGTAGTATCCTTTAAATCTTCGTGAATCAGATTTTCGTGATGTTTATTGAAAAGTAATCGTATTTGAAAAAATTAAAGCTTACCACTCGGAAATAAAAACTGAAAAGCAGTCATGTTACTTTATATTTTATTGCTTGTCTATATTTTCAGGATGCAATATTTTTATAAATAACGTGCAATGCAATTTTATATTTATGAACAGCTTTACCGTTCGATCGTGAGTTTATGTCAGGTAATATAATTATTCTAAACATTGGGATTGTGAAATATCTATCCGCTGAGATTGAACGTTCGCGGAAATTCGCGGAAAAGAAACTCTTGGCACGAATATAATGCAATTTGTTCTCGAGAACAAGGAGATAATCTCAAAGGAGAATTCAGACTTGTCAATAATCTGGAGGATTTAAAGTATTGAAATATTTTGCGTCCTATCAATTTACAACTAAGATAATTTCACCATAACCTCGTTTGATTGTCGTTTGATATTTTATAATTTTATAATGTTTATATAAATGTTATATAATGTTATATAATGTTATATAATGTTTATATAATGTTTATATAAATTGGATTTAAAAGATATTAATATTTAAAGTTTAATAGATATTTTATAATTTTATAATGTTTATATAAATTGGATTTAAAAGATATATTTAATATTTAAACTTTAGTATCAGCTTTTGAATAATTTTTGTTGACTATGCATGATAACAAATTGCTTTGTTAGAAGCAAGATCTAAATTTTCTTTTCTTAATAATCTTAAAACATAGACGTAGAATTTTGCAAATTCATGCAAATTTCACTATTATATTGTTCCTTTGGATAATAGGCTATTCTAAAATTACTCCTATAATATTATATAATATTATATAAATTACTCCTATAATCTCTAACCGTATAATGCATGATGCTAGTGTGCAAAATGCGCCAAGTTTTAATGCGAATTTACTCTGTAATGTGCAATTGGCTACGTTTGTATTGTTTCAACTTTTGATTAATGCACTATCGTAATACTCGCGAATACATTTGCATTGGATTTGTGTTTATGTCGTATAATTTTCATCCGTTCTTGTTCACTCGTTCTATGGAATTCGTATTGATATCACTTTTTTTTTTAATCCGATTGAAATATGAGAAGAGTATCGACATTATTGTAATGTATTCTTGAATGAAACTTTTTGATGAAAATGTTTTAACAAACGAAAAATAAGGCATTAATAAAGTTATGTGCAGCATGTTAAAAATTCATTCATTTAATAAGAATTAAATATATATAAAGATCATAGACTTGTCATAAGTTTTTAAATTACAAAGGTATTTTATCAATTTATATTATGAGAAGATTATTTTATCTTAATCTCATTTTACTTTATATAAAATAGATACTTTATTTCATTTCTATCTATTTATATATGCTGCTATCAATATACGCTTTTGCACGAGTTGTTACAGGGGTTTATACACTTACCGGCAACCCTTGCCTCCTTGCATGCTTCGTACATGTCTTGTTTGATCTCTGGGTTGTCGTCCGCGATAGTTTCGCCAACGGTCACGAATCTCTCGACCGCCAAATTTACCGCCTGGCCGACCCTGGCGACTGCTCGCAGACTCCGGTCCGAACATAGCGGTCGTTCTCTGTGTGAGATTAACGTGGAAATCTGTAAAGATGAAGTATTTCGATGAGTGCACAGAATTGAGTCGGGGACATCTCTATGTGTGTATGTGTGTGTGTGTGTGCGTGTGCGTGTGTGTGTGTGTGTGTGTGTGTGTGTGTGTGTGTATGCAAAATTTTATTTCAAAATTCGATATCATTAAAATGAAATTTTA